CAGGGAGCATAACGTGGCAATGACTACAACTCAAATCTAAAACCCGAGCTCTCCAATTCAGCGTGATGTCGATGTGAAGGCCAAGATTTTTAAAAGAGTTACTGAACGGAATACGAAATAGTACTATCATAATAAATAGAAGGCAAGTCTGCAAGATTAATCTTAGCCAGCATCCTTGAGCTACCCACCAGTATAGTTTGGCATTTCAAAGGGTTGACCAAAACTCCATAACGAGTAGACCAATCTTTGATAGCTGATAAGTTAACGTTAAGGTTTTTGATCCCATTATGGATATCCGCAATTTCGGTTTGCACATAAAGCTGAAGATCATCGCCGTACAAATGGTACGAGCAATCGATGATAGAGGTAATAAAATTTATAAAAATTTAAAAAAACTATAGGAGAAAGAATACCGCCTTGCGGCACACCAGCATCTACATCAGCCCAAGCTGAGGTCATTTGCCCCACACTGACTGACTACTGTCGACCGCGAAGATAAGATGCTAAAAATTATTTGATATTGAATAAAAATTCAATACAAGCAACAAAGCCATCTTTTATTTGATTGTACAGTAACCTTTATCTGTAATATGCAGGTATGTTGGTAGATATTTTTACGTAAGTATGGATTTTTTTAATTTATTTGTTTAAATAGCTTATCTGTAACGCCTTAAAGTTAAGGATACACAGGTTGGACTACACAGCATGTAGCATTCTTTGCAGTTCTACCCTGGGTACCAAGTACATACATACACAGCATATAATATTTAATTTTTTTTATTTATTTATTTATTTAAGAAATTTATGATTAAAAAGATGAATAGTTTTAGTGTAAACATAAACTCATTAGAGTTTTTCCGTACACCATTGCTGTCGACACATTGTTCTAATTTACACTTTACAATACATTACATTAGCAAAGTTACATTAATGTTATCATCAACTTAAATTAGGTGCATTAAATGTTATGTTTCTATTTTACAAACTATTTGTGGGTACAAAAATATAAAATAGTTTTAGGCGATGAGCGTAACATCACAAGGTGAACTTATTACATTCTGTGAATAATCGTGATACAGGCTGATTATAACATATATTTTCATAAATTTATAATAAGATAATATGTTGGTAAAGTAAACCGATAATATAGAACGAGAAATTGTTTAAAGTGTTACGAGTATTTAGTAAGAGTTAATTGTATATAAAAAATATTTAGTTTTTATTTGTGTTCTGACGTCTTTCAAAGATTTAGGTAACTGATTAGATTAGGTATAACATAGTTTAAAGTTCCTAGTTTAAAGTTCTTTTCCGTATAGCTTTTTTGTAATTGCGTTTTTATGTTCTGCGTGCGTATAATATAACTTATCTACCTTTTTAAAATTTTCAGTAAAGTAATTTTCAGTTAGTAATGTTAGTTCAACTTTGTCGTGAATAGGTATAATTTTACAAAATGCAAATAGTTTTCGATAATCATCTTTAAAATTAATTTTGAGATTATTAGGGACTATTTGTTTTAAAATGCGCAGCTGAATTGAGTACCTATATTCGATCTAGATATGTTTTATAGGTTCTCCCATAGCTTGACAAGCCATATCGTATAACAGACTCAGCTAAGGATTTATAGAGCATTAAAGAGGTTTTGTAAGGTATTTTGTGTTTGATTAATGTAAATTTTGCTAATATCCCTCTTAATATATCACAAACACGATTTACATGCTCTTTCCAGTTTAGCCGATCGTCAATTAATAGACAAAGATAGGTGTGCTTATTTACAATTTCTATGGCATCGCAATTACAGGTGTCGAATTGTCAGTATTTTGTATATGAAGGCAGTGATGTGTGTGCGCTATTAGTTTAGGCATAAAAGAACTTCTGTTGTGGCTTGTACTTATATAAATAAGTTTAGTTTTGGCAGCATTGAGTACTAAACCGACGTCGTGTGACCACTTCGTCAGTATGTCAAACTCTTTTTGAAGTTTCATTAGGACCTCCTGTATACTACGTCCAGCAGCTACTAAACAGGTATCATAATATACATACATATAACATAGTTTATATATTTTATAGCCTTTTATATGTTCATAGTCATAAAAGTGTTTATTAAAAAGTAAGGAAGAGAACAAGGACGAACACGTATGACTGATCGAATGCTTGGTTTTAGACTTCACATTTCCTTGAACTGCACGTAGATGTAAGGGATGTCGTTACCTTACAATGTTTTCTTTCAACGACAAACTACGATAGAACTACCTATAATTTATTCTGTAACCGAGTTTTTTTTTTAATATGTATAAAAAGGGTGACAAATGAGAACGCAGTCTACTTGGTGGTAAGTGTATGCTGTTTACCATAGACAATTACATACATCTTCGATAAAGAATCAAAATGCAGATGAATTGATACTACAGATTAAATAATGTTACTACGTAACTGAGGACCAAGATAAAATATCTCGTTCTTAAAGGGTCTCTGATTGAGGTGTATGTTTTGCAGTGGTATTTTGAAAGGCTGTAAAGGTAACGGTGGTGCTACGTTGGTCTCGCCTACCCATTCGTGCTGCAACTATAATACAGCTGCAGAGTGACTTAACCACGTTAAAATCTAAATATGTGAGTATCTAGTCAAGGAATATGACGTAAAAGTAAAATGTTGTTTTTTATCGAATAAGGGTGACAAACGAGCACACAGTCCACCTGATGGTAAGTGGATGCTGTTGCCCATAGACACCCACATTTAATCTCGATCAAGAATCAAAATACAGATGAGTTGTCACCCCTCTGAGGACTAAGATGGAATGCCTAGTTTCCAGTAAAAAGGATTTCCGGTTCTCTACACTCATCATACGAAACGCAGCAGCATTAAGCTAATATTTTACACTGGTATTCAAGTCGAGTTAGTCAAGGCTATTTATTTGTGCTACAAATATAATATAGTTTAAATGTGGTAGAGGAATGAGTATAACTATTTTAAACATACTGCATTGCGTGTCCGTGACATCTAACATTATCTGTGATTAAATGAAACTATTGGATGAAAAAGCGGTTATCTGGTCGCTAAAATGAAAGGTGGAGTTATTACTCCGGTAGTCAAATAATTCTTCGAAAAAGCCAATTGTCGATGGAAAAATTAATTTATATACTCTGTCGAACAACCGCTGTTTATGTCGGGATTTAAAAAAATTGGTCCTAAGTATAATTGGAAGAGAAAAAGACAATAGAAGTTTGGTTAAATACATTAAAATGAGTCAATTATATCAATATCCAAGTATTCAATATACCTGATTACAAGCAATTTATAATATAGGCTGTGATGTGAAGTATATGAGCTACAGTAGGCTCATACCGTTGGGTGAACCGTACGCTCGTTTGTGTCTTCACAGACATCATTCATCAGTTTTCTATTATAAAATCATGGACTGTAACAAATAATAACATTTTATTAGCTGTTATTTTGACGTGGAAGAGCCAAGCTGCCGCGATAATGGATGCAGCACTGATCACCTCAGCATAATGCTGTTTTTCGTATAGCGAGAGAAGCGGTGACTCTTTTTACTGGTAACGTTACTGATTCTTAATCGACGTAGGGTTCATAGACTTCCTTTCCATTATGTGCTCTGTGTGCTCGCCTGTTAACGTTTACTTCTAAATAAAGAGTTTTAGTCCTATTTTTTGAGAATAAGGGTGACAAACGAGCACAAAGTTCACCTGATGGTAAGTGGATGCTGCGGCCCCTAGACATCTACATTTATTCATCTATAAACTAAAAACTAAAAGCAGATGCTTTGTCAGCCCTGACGACTAAGACGAAATAACTTATATCTAGTAAAAAGAGTCGCCGGTTCTCTACACTCACCATACGAAACATAGCAGTATTAAGTTGCTATTTAGTCTAAAATATAATAGATAGTATAATATTAATCTGTATTACTCCGCAGTGGACTTGTGAATGGCTGTAATTATAATGATGACTCGTAATACTTCATCTTTTCTATTCTTTCAATCTCATACTTGTATTGTTACATTTCATACGTAAGCGTGGAGCATGGATTTACACGTGTTAGGCGCAACGTGACTTAGATAAGTAGATTGTTCACTCAGCCAGCCTTTCATATGTGCTAAAAATAGAGACTGCCTTTATGCAAAGGTGCATGGCGCTCGCTGCAGAATTAGAGGGCGCGTAAATTCAATAAAATTCGTCGTTCACATTGCAATTAGTTTTATGTCAAAAATAAAAAATTTACAGGAGAGTGAAAAAACAGCATACTGTAAAAAAATCTTTTAAGATATCAAAATGTTTTTTAACTAATGTTTCCTAACTATTGTGTTCAATTAAATGTGCATTTTGAATTTTCCATAAATAATTATATTATGTTAGAAATTTGACATAGAACCTATTGTAACTACAATTGACGTAAAATTTGTGACATGTAACATATTGATAGTTTATTTGTATGAAATAATACACAGATAATTTCAAAAATCAGGTAAAGTATTTATTCAAGTTATTTATAATTAAAGTAGAAACAATCACAAATATGTATAGTTAAGAAAAATAAACAACAATATAGACGTAAAAATTTCTTGACAAACTTAAAAATGTTGTTAGCTTATAACAAAATAAAATTAAACTTATTTTAAAATTAAACTTAAATTGCAGGGTAAAATGAAGAAAATGATGTAACGAATGTAATAATTAATATTTAGTATGCAATGCGACCATTGCACACTAATTATTTCGTTTATGAGGACAGGCATCGGGATCTGAACAATTATGCTCTAAGGAGTCATAAAAAGGGTGATAATCTTTAGGAATCAGTGGTTTTAATTCTTGTAAATGTATAAATTTTGAAGTGTCAATAAGGAGAAATGATTGATAATGAGCAGTATCAGTTCGTGTGTAGTTTTTGTTTGAGCGTCGCGGTAATTCTTTGAAGTCGTCATTAAAGTCCAACTTATACCGTATGATCCCATCTGCATTATATTGCAGGCTTACAATATCAACTAGAAGTGGATCGCCTTTTCGTTTCCTGGTCGAATACTGGAGTAACTACCACCTTCATACCTGCTGAAATCACTGTAGCTTAGACAAACTACTTTATAGGGTTCAGGCTTGCTTCTTGCGCTCTTTATTATATTTATATAGTCTCCAGGAATGAAAATCTCTCGATGAGGTGGCAACTTTCTTTCGATGCTGCTATGTATCGAGTCGACCTCCATCTGGGTGTGCCCAACTTCGAGGTATTTTTGTTCGATGATTATGTTCTTCTCGACTGATAATTCAATTAGAGCATTAGACAAATTCAAGGATCGATTTTGGTAACCACACCCATCATTCCACAGGATAATTTTTTTGGTGTTTGGTGCCTTTTCTAGTTCTGCCTTTAGGTGTTTCATCATAATAGACGTAAAGACATCACTGTCTAAGCCACCGCTTCCCTCGTGCCATAAATAGCAAATCACTGCTTTTGTTTTTAAATTATAGTGTGTATAATTGTGAACTTTAAGTTTTGTTTTATAGTAAACAGCTGATGCCTGGATTCTTGGGCATAGAAGTACCGCTTGGACATCCATAGTGTATACTAATACATCATCTTCAGTATTGTTTTTGTCATTATCCTTATTTTGTCTTGCTGTTTCTTTTTTCTTCAAGTGACTCCTGTACTCATCTTCATTAATATTACCATTCTTGTAGGAATTAAGCTTGCGATACTTCCTCTCGAACATCGCAACACAATATCGTCTCTTGTTGTTATTTGAACAAAACTTTTTATATTCAGCATACATATCACCATAAACACTATTCCAGATTGGTTCTGAATATAATTTTGAGGAAGATGATCTGCAATAATAGGACTCTACTTTCGGCAGACTGTTGAAAAATTCTCGAATTGAATCGGATGCATTATTTTGAGTCCTTGCATTACAATCATTTCCATTTTGAGAGATAGTAAAACTTTCTGCCACATCTTTACTAGGAACAACCCAATCCCTTAGTTGTCTTTGGCCAATGCACAAAGTTTTCATAAACATTTGCTTACAAATATGAACTCTCTTAGCATTATCTTTCAAAGATAGGAAATATTTAAATCCTTTGTTTTTCCTAGACGCTTGATGAACGTCGATGCTGCGGTGCATATACACTTATTAAATTTCGGACATATACTTTACGAGCTTCCCAAGAACTCAGTGCCCAATAAGAATCAAACATCAGTTTTCGGTCTTCTTCGGTTAACATTTCTCATTCAAACCTTTGTCTCGGTCCCCTATGTTTCACTTCAGTATGCCCACCACATCTTGCCTGTAAGCATTTAGCTGGTCTTAATAGTATTTGTATTTTCCATTCCTATCCTTCTCAAAACCTTCATATTGTTTACCTTGTAACCTAGCCTTAGAGTTTTTTTTTAATCTCTTCCATTTTGTCTGATCTGCTTGACCCTTACGATTGCGTTTCATTTGAATTGAATTCATTTGGATGGATGTGGATGTCTATGAGCCATAGCATCCACTTACCATCAAGTGGACTATGTGCTCGTTTGTCACCCTTATTCTATAAAAAACAGTCTACATTTTATATCTCATGAAACACTGTGACGTGTTCGCCTGTGGAAAGAAAGACGCAAATTTACTTTTTATAAGTGATTTATGTCGCAATTTGCAGATAGCTTGAAAGCTCACAAGATGATTCGTTTATTATTAAAACAACTAATATATATATATATATATATATATATATATATATATATATATATATTTTTTATATATATATATATATATATATATATATATATATATATATATTAGTTGCATGGTAACTTATTTTCATTCTGCTTCGACTAAAACTAGTCAGTACATAAGTTTTCATCAAATTTTGGACAGTCCATCTGATAGTATATGGGTGCTGTGGGCCATTGAAATCTACATGTATCCTCGATTAAGAATTAAAATGCGGATGCGTTGACACATGACACCCCTGTGGACTGAGATGGAATGTTTCGTTTCCAGGCAAAAAAACCAGAGACCCTATCATACACACACCGTAGGAAACACAGCAGCATTGAGCAGCTCTTCACGCTGATATGCTGTCCGAGCGTGATCCTATGCCGGTCGAGCTGACTCCTTCGTACTACAGCCATAATATAGCGGCAGCATGGCTCTACAATGTGAAAAAAAGATTATCGTCATTCAGACTATTCTACTATAGGGATCTAGGAAATCCACAAAACATTTAACCTGTTTGGTATACTTACTTCAAACAGACACACAATATACTAGAGAAATTTTAAAAGCTGAAAAGATGGGCCGCAATATAAAGAAACACCAAGAATGAAAAGCGCTTACTTTAATCAAATCACTTTAGAACAGCGATATTTATTAAATTATGGAGTAACAAGCTCAGTGTGTGTATGGTTGTAACTTGTTTTAGAATAATGGTCAAATATTTAAACGCCACTCAATTTTAAGACGTCGTAAGTCTCGTGGTGTCACAGTCACTTTGACTTAGTGACAAAAACAGCACCAGACTTAACAGCTTCTTCAAATTAAGCAGCGTTTGAGTATTAAAGGTGTCAAACGGTCACAGAGTCCACTTGATGGTAAGTGAATGATGTGTGCCATAGAAAGCTATGCGTGTATCCTCGATGACGAATCGAACTGTAAATTCGTTTTTCACCCCTGAATACTGGTGCCTCGTTACCAGCAAAAAGGATTTCCGATTCGCTACACTCACCATACGAAAAACAGGATGAAGCTGCTATTCCAAGCAGGCATTTCGTGATCTTTCTCAATTTCAAGTAGAGCGACAAGACTGATGCCGCACAGTACTGATTACAAAGATAAGCTTTTACAAACAATAAAATTAATATAATATAACAATATTACCGCACATAGTTTTTAAGGTAATCGCAAAATAAATCTCTGCTCTGTGGTTTTTCGATGACTGAACTGATTTCCCAAAGCAGTATCTCTATTCCAACAAATGTTGTAAATTACTCTGAAGTACTTCTGAAACCTGGCCCCGATCCATTGTGAATATATCCGTCAGATGACATCCCTTCAGTCGCTGTCAATAGGTATTAACGGCTCGCATTTATTGGGCTTTCTCGCACAATTGTCGGTTTCAACCACAGGAATCTAAATATAAATTATGATTTAGATTTCTGTGGTTTCAATTGTATATAACAAACTCAAAAGTTAAAAACAATGTGTATTTGTAAAAAACGTCGGGAAATCAAAAGCCAAATTAAGGGCAATAAAATATCTAAATTAGTATTATTTAATGTGTATGTAGTAAGTATTTGCGTAAATATAAGAAGTCATTAAGTAAAAAGCTGTTTTAACCCTCGGTTGGTCGCATGGGGTCTTTAAAAGCCTAGGTATTTTTAAAATGCAAATATTTTATTGTTAATACTATCATAGAAACTTGAAATTCCAGGTACCCTCCTAAGTTTTATTATAGTTTCCGCTGATCGCTGCTAAGTTCAGTGCCCGCGCAGGCGTCGTGAGATACGGAAGGTTATTTTGTGCGTAGGCTGGCTTTCAAAGACCCCACGCGACTAACTGCGTAATTAAAAAGTGATTGGAACTTATTTTTTATTTACTTGTAGCACATGATATTTTGATTATTTTTGTGTTGTTTTAGGCTTTTTAGTTACTATAATGGACGCTCGACAACAAGAACGCATATTGCACTGGTTGGAGGAGGAGGAAGAGGAGATTCTTGGTGGAGAGGATGATGAAGATGGAAATCATATATACCCGGACGAAACAAGCGAACACAACACGGATTCAGAGCAAGAATGTGATGATGGTGATCCAGAAACCCAGGATCATGTGTCAGAATCGTCCGAAGACCAACAAATGGATGTAGATAGTTCGGATAGTGACGATAATGAGCCATTGATCCACATTTCATCACAGAACTTTTATTTTGTCAAAAAAAAAAGATAAAAGTGGCCACTATAAAACAATTTGCAAATGGAGGAAGACACCGTACCCACAGGGTATCAGAACAAGGAGACAGAATATAGTTACAGACCAACCAGGCCCACAGGGTACAGCTCGGGCGGTGAGTAACCCCTTTGAATCTTGGCTTTTGTTTTTGGACGTTAATATGTTGCAGCATATTGTGGAGTGCACAAATATAAAGATAGCATCTATGCAGACAAATTACAAGAGGCAGCGGGACTGTGAGGAGACCAATATCATTGAGCTAAAAGCGTTGATTGGTATTATGTATCTGATTGGTATTCATAAATCCTCACATGCTTTGATTGATGATATTTGGATGGCTGATGGTACGGGGTTAGATAAATGCCGTGCTACTATGTCCAAGCAACGTTTTCGTTTTTTATTAAGAGTCCTCCGATTCGATAATATTCATACACGGGAACAACGCAAAGCCGTTGACAAACTGGCGCCAATAAGAGAGATATTTGAGCAATTTGTAAAAAATTGCCAGACAAATTACAAGAACACTGAATATGTTACTATAGATGAAATGTTGGAGAGTTTTAGAGGCTCGTGTGGATTTCGCCAATATATGCCAAGCAAACCAGCTAAATATGGCAAAAAGTTGTTTTCTCTAGTGGATGCCATGACATTCTACACAAAAAACTTAGAAATATATGTCGAAAAACAGCCAGAAGGTCCCTACTTTCAAGATACTTCAACAAAAGCTCTTGTCAAACGAATGATTGAACCAATATCAGGTACAGGACGAAATGTGACCATGGATAACTGGTTTACTAGTGTTCCATTAGCTGAGGACCTATTGACAAATCATAATTTGACAGTAGTGGGTACATTAAGAAAAAATAAACCAGAAATTCCAAGTGAATTCAAACGAAAAGGCTTGGAAGTACATTCCACAGTGTTTGGATATAAACCGACAGAGACTTTGCTCTCATACTGCCCAAAAAAGGATAAAACAGTGTTACTACTTTCAACTATGCACAATGAGGGTATAATAGATGAGACATCCGAGAAAAAGATTCCAGAAATCATAATTTTTTATAATAAAACGAAAGGTGGAGTGGACGTGGTGGATAAACTTATCGGAACTTACACTGTTGCACGCGTTTGCTACCGATGGCCGTTGAGGTTGTTCTTTACAATGCTCGATGTTGGAGCGGTAAATGCCCACATAATATTGGATACCGTAAATCCTAACAACCGAATAGGTCGCTAGTTGTTCTTGAAAACGCTAGCATTCGAACTATGTCGTCCTCAGTTGGAATCGCGGGCCACTATATCAACTTTGCCACGCGAATTGAAACAGCTTATTCTGCGATTCGTACCTCGTCCCGTGGATGTTCCTCACGAAGATACTGGTTTCGTACCTATGAGGAAACGATGTATTCACTGCACTAGGGGAACAGATAGAAAATTTAAAACTATCTGCCATTTTTGTAAGGGAAATATATGTCCAATACATTCAAAATCAGTATGTACTGACTGTGTTCAAACGGAAAATTAGTGTGAATTTGAAACGCAAAAGTATATATTTTTTTTTGTTGGATCTACTTACATTTCTTTTTATATTGTTAAATAATGCCTTAAAATACCAAAAAAAGGTTAACACGATTGTTTTTATTTTTATTACAAGAAATATATTTTTTTTTCTCTAAGTCATGAAAAACACTAAAAATTTTGTTCCTATTTTCTAATTTTAAGTTTCAAGGAGTTAATAAACATTTATTTTCTAATAAATTATAGTCTTTTTATTCAATTAATATAAATAAACAATTATATAATAAAATAAATAAGAAAATAATAATTGTAAGGTGTTTTCTTCGCTGTTAAATTTTGGGGTCTTTAAAGACCCCACGCGACCAACCGCGTAAGTTTAAAAGCGCGACCAACGGAGGGTTAAATGTTAAAACAGCTTTTTACTGGTCTGGAAAAACCAGAAGCCTCGCTCGTGCCACCGCTTTTAACAAAGAGTGGTAGAGATGGAGTGACGTCCTGGTAAGACATGCAGGAAATCGATGGATACAGGTGGCATTCCTTGGGGGAGACCAATGTTCAGGAGTGGATTTGTGAAGGTAAGTAAGACTGTAGGTAGGTAATAAAAACGATTATTATTATAAAACTAATATTTTATGATTGTTACCCGTATTAATAAAGTTACTAATAATAAAAAATAAGCTGACTAAGCTAGTTAGTTATAGTGTTTGATGGTAATTATGTTGATTTTATAATTAAGTATATTCAAAAGTTTAATTTATATTTGTTTCTTTTATTTTACGTACTTAAACTAACTCGAAACAAAAGATAATGCGAATAAAACGAATAAAACAAAATGGTATGTATTGTTTGATTATGATTAGAATAAACTAATATAACGAAGGTTATAAACAAAAAGCATTATTTTATTAACGTTATTACGAAATTCATTGTAAAAGTAAGTACAAAATAGTAAATAGTAGTACATCGGATCCTGGCTCTTTGTCAAATATAGCTAGGCCTGTGTACACATTATGTACACAATGGATCATTTCCCACTTTTGCTAAAACCTTAGGTATGGAATATCTATAAATATTTAAAAAAAAAAGTATTAAATTTGATATCTTCGCCAAAAAACTTATATCTTATATTTTAAAAACACCGGAGTTACTTACTTTAATGACAAATACAATTGGATAAAGTATATTTGATTTTAATTCGCCTGATTGTGATATACGGGGTTATTTTGCAATAACCGGCCAAAATTGCATAAAGGTTCAGAATACAGGCAAACAGTGAAAAAAATTATTTATAAAAAAACACACACGTTATGTCCTCTGTATCTTTTAAATTCATAATGCCATTATTTTAACTGATGTTACTGATTCGTATTCGTAAACGTTTTTGCCCATAAATCACATTCAATTTGGGAATTAAAAGAAGCCTTTTTTACTTGTATTTTCAAAAACTGCAATAACGGTATATCATTAATCGTATCTTACTTGAACTTAAGTTTAAAATTTGGCAACTCTTGGAAAAATAAACCTGTATGATTTGTTTGTTTTTTATTTAATTACTTAATAACAGAAATTTATTTTACAACGATTATTCGTATCATATCTTAATTAGTTTCTCAATAACTCAAAACAGCCTGCCTAAAACCAAAACCTATAGTCATAAAAAGCATAAGAAAGTTTATTATGTCGAAGGTAAACGCATATTGACATAATATTATAAAGAATAAAACAAAATGGTGGTTTTGGTTCAGGTGGCTGCGCCGCCCAACTCGCGCGCCGTTTATCGTCTACCAACTATCATCGGAGCGGTTTGGCAACGCCGACCGCATTCCTGTCCACGCGGCAACGTCGCCTCGCTGTTCGGCACGTTCGCGCGTGACGCGCGCTATGATAAACCGCTGCGCTGTGGACGGACTTGTGATGTGGAATATGAAAATGTCCGGTTTCGAGCCGTATTCAGATGCAGCGTGGAAATAGATTGATTGACTTACTAACTACTTATAATATACACTAGTTACAATAACTAGAGGATATTAAAAAAAATCAAAATTTTTGGGTGATTTTCAACAAGCTGTAACTGAGGAAAACGATCGAACAGCAAGAAAAAAGCAAATTGTAGCTCCAAGTGACAGTTTTCAAATCTGGCCATGAATTTTTTTTTATCATGTTTGGAATGTAAGGAAACTACCGAAAATAAAACTTCCAAATTTTTGCTGCTCTTATAAAGGTCTACGGGCTTCAAAATTTTTTTTCATTATTTCACTTAAAGCTCTTTTAGGAAATTTAATTATCATCAATCAAACATGAACGTACTATTGTTCTTAGTACGTTCATGCAATCAAAGCAAAAAAAAATATTTTTAACTTTGATAATAAAAACAATTATGAGTAGAATACATAATAAGTGGAATTTAAAGCGCTTTGATATTGAAATTAGCGGGAAGTTCCCGGGATGGCCAGCAGGGTCAATCAATTTTTTTTTGTGATGTCTAAAACATCTTTGATGATGTCAAATGGTTTTCATTCTTCTTTTTAGAGAATAAGGGTGATGAACGAGCACACTATAAAATAGAAATAAGAATAGGGGAATATATACTTTAGGAGTGGTCCTATACATACCTATAAATTTGGGGAAAAAATTCCACCGTTAAGAGTGGCAAAAATAAAATAACTTCTTTTTAGTTTTTTAAAGTTAGTTTTTCCTTTTTGTAAAAATTTATAATTAAATCAAACCTAGCTCAGAGGCTACAGCGCTCGCTGTAAATTTCATAGTACGCGAGCTACCAGAGTTCCAACCCCGCCAGCACCAATGAAATTGTTAATTGTACTGATTTACAACCTGTTTGGCAGTGGAAGAAAACGGCGTGAGAAAACCGGCATGTCTCAGAAATAAGAAAACACATTTCGAAGACGTGTGAAGTCCGACAACGTGCACTGCCACTTCCTTGCTCTAAAACTCCCTCAGAAATGCGAGGAGGGATGTGCCCAGCAGTGGGACATACATAGGATGTAACTTTAAATTTACTTTTTATATCACATCAAGATATGTCTCTTCGTTCTTCAATCACGAACTTTATCTCCAAGTCTTTAATGTTCCAACGGAAACTACTCAAGAACATTGCTTTAAAAAAAAACTGGTCCGAGAACACTTTTTATTTCTACATTTTTTTGTTATTACTGTTTAATTTGTCGTTATTAAATATTATATTTTTAAATTGACTAGATAAATTATGTTTGAGTTACATATTAAACTTGCTTTTACCCGCGACTTTGTCAGCGTTAAGCTCTAACTTGATTCCGACAGATGATTTTATACGTGGTAGAACCACGCTGCAGCTGTTATGATTGTAGCATGAATGGGACGGCTGAACCGGGGAAGGACCACGCTCTCACAGAATACCAGGTGGGTAGAAGGAAAAGGTGGGGTGTTCTTATTTTAGACGGAAAAGTCCCACATAAAATAGCAGCTTAATACACAGTTTCGTATGGTGAGTGTAGAGAACTGGAGATCAGTTTTACTGGAATCGTGGCATTCCATCTTAGTCCTCAATGCTGACAACGCACCTGAATTTTGATTCTTAATTGAGGTTAAATGTAGATGTCTATGGGCCACAGCATCCACTTACCATCAGGTGGACTGTGTGCTCCTTTGTCACCCTTATCTTATAAAATAAAGATGACAGAATAACCATTACGTACCTTTACGCTAAGACAAAGATGGAGCAGTGTTAAAAGAGCGAAACATCTTTTACTGCGATCTTGATGACGTAGGTCTCATAGGCGGGGAATATTTACCATAGATGCCAAGCTTGGCCACCTGCCAACCGCAGGTTTCATTTTGAGTTGTAATCAAGATAGTGCTGCCAATATCTTGGTTTGTTATCCTTTGTCACCTCCTACGACACCCACAGGGCGACAAGTAGAGTGGTGCATCGATGGTGCAACAGTATCCATTAGGTAGGCACCCAAGGGATATTCTTGCGCTACCACTACATATTAAAGTAAAAAAAAGTAAAGTTACAGCCTATATACGTCCCACTGCCGGGCACAGGCCTCCTCTCATTTCTGAGAGGGTTTTAGGGCAAGGAGGTGTCCGCCGCGCTACCCCAATGCGTGTTGGCGAACTTCACATGTCTTCGAAATATTTTTTGTTCCTTATTCCTCAGACATGCAGGTTTCCTCATGATGTTTTCCTTCACCGGCGAGCACGTAATAACTACATAGTAACCTATTTATAATTAACTTAAATCCAGCTAGTTACAAAAACAAAACTTAACTCTCAGTTTTTTCAAGTAAAAACAAGTAAAACAGTTTAAACTAAACATTGGTAAATTATAGATCATCATCATCATCATCATTACAGCCCTTCACAAGTCCACTGCTGAACATAGGCCTCCCCCAAGTAATGCCACAAAGCACGGTCCTGAGCCACCTGCATCCATCGACTTCCTGCATATCTTACCAGGTCGTCACTCCATCTAGTGGGGGGTCGCCCTACACTACGCCTACCGGTACGAGGCTGCCACTCGAGAACCTTTCTTCCCCATCGGTTATCGGTTCTTCGAGCTATATGGCCGGCCCATTGCCACTTCAGCTTACTAATCCGTTGGGCTATGTCGGTCACTCTGGTTCTACTGCGGATATCCTCATTTCTGAGTCTATCACGCAGAGAAACTCCGAGCATAGCCTTCTCCATAGCTCGCTGAGCGACCTTGAGCGTCCTCATACGGCCAGCAGTGAAGGACCACGTCTCTGATCCGTAAGTCATCACTGACAACACGCACTGGTTGTACACTTTAGTTTTCAGAGATTGAGGTATACCTGACGAGAAGATGTGTCGTAATTTCCCGAACGCTGCCCAGCCGAGTTGAATCCGTCGATTGACCTCTCGGTCGAAGTTGGACTTACCTAGTCGGACTATTTGTCCCAGGTAAACGTACTCGTCAACAACTTCGAGCATAGTGCTCCCCACAACTACCGGCATAGGTGTGACATGGACATTGAACATAATCTTTGTTTTGTCCATGTTCATCTTAAGACCTATCCGTTGGGAGACACCATTGAGGTCATTGAGCATAGTGCTAAGGTCCTCCAGCGATTCTGCCATAAGGACTATATGGTCGGCAAATCGAAGGTGAGTGATGTACTCGCCATTGATGTTAATACCGTATCCTTTCCAGTCCAGTAGCTTGAAAACGTCTTCCAAAGCAGCGGTGAAGAGTTTCGGGGATATAACGTCACCCTGTCTTACACCTCTCTGCAGTTGGATAGGTTTCGAGCTCTGGTTCTGTACTCGGATAGCCATCGTAGCCCTACTGTACAAACACTTCAGCACTTCGATATACCGACAGTCAACTTGGCACCGCTGAAGGGACTGCAGCACCGCCCAAATTTCGACGGAATCAAAGGCTTTCTCATAGTCCACATACGCCAGGCAAAGTGGCAAATTGTACTCGTCAGTCTTCTGTACAATCTGCCGCAGGGTATGTATGTGGTCTATGGTACTGAAGCCTTTTCGGAAACCGGCTTGTTCGGGAGGCTGGAAGTCGTCGAGTCTGCTTGCGAGACGATTCGTAATGACTCTCGAAAACAGCACGTAGACGCGGCTCAGAAGGGAAATCGGTCTGTAGTTCTTCAAGAGAGCGTTGTCGCCTTTCTTAAAGAACAAGACCACCGCACTTCTGCTCCACGCCTCTGGAGTAGTGCCACCATGGAGGACGGAATTGAAGAGCTTCTGAAGGACTTCAAGTACCGGTGTTCCACCCGCTTTCAGAAGCTCCGCTGTAATTCCATCCTCGCCCGGGGCCTTGCCGTTTTTAAGGTGTTGGAGAGCCATTCTAATCTCGCTCAGACTGACGTCCGGGATATCATCGGAATAGTGTCGGATAAGACTTGCTCTTCGATCGTTACTCACACTTGAGTGTGGCTCCAACGATGATGTGTACAGCTGCCCATAGAACCTCTCAATCTCACTCAGAATCTCAGGTGTCCCGGAAACGATGTTGCCACACTCAGTCTTCAGCCTTGACAGTTGGCTCTTTCTGGCAGACAGATCTCTGGCAAAGACTTTGGAGCCCTGGTTCCGCTCGATCGCTTCTTTAATACGAGAAGTATTAAAGTTGCGTAAGTCTCGCCGCATGCATTTGGAGATCTGTCTGTTCAGTTGCCTGTATGCTGTCAAATCTGTTGACGATTGCAGCCTCATCTCCCGTCTAACAGCCATGAGATTAAGAGTGTGATCGGAGAGTTTTTGTGTTCTTCTGCGGCAGGTCTTGCATAACTTAGCTCCGACCGCATGGACAGTTTCCACGAGCTTGTCATTCATATCGTCCACTGCATTGCAATCTTGTAGGCACTGAAAGCGGTTGTGTAACTCGAGCTGAAAGTTTTCGGGATTCTGGATTAGAGCACGAGGGGGACGGAGCGTTGACTTCATTAGACGAGACCTCTCCAACTTAACGTTTAGGTTCAGTGTGCCTCTAACCATTCGGTGATCGCTGCCAGTTTTCACCCTTGCGATCACTGAGACATCACTGAACAGTTGGCGTCTGGTCGTCATAATGAAGTCAATCTCATTTTTTGTCGAACCGTCGGGGCTCGACCAGGTCCACTTCCTGTGGGGCCGCTTCTGGAAGAAAGAGTTCATCATAAAAAGTCCCTCTTTCTCCATAAAGTCGGCCAGCTGCTGGCCCCTTCGGTTCCGTTGCCCTATTCCAAATTTCCCTAACTTCAGCTCACCGTTTTCTCTGGTGCCTAGTTTTGCGTTGAAGTCTCCCATCAACACCGTGTAGTGGGTTTTGGAGGAATGCATGGCTTTGGAAATATCCTCATACATTTCCTCCACCTCCTCATCGGAATGTGCCGAGGTTGGTGCGTAAACCTGTATGACCTTCAGCGAATACCGTTTGGTGATTCTGAGTATCAGGTACGCGACCCTCGTCGACACACTCCCAATCTTTACAACGTTGTTGACGAGAGACTTG